TAATTATAATTGTTTATTTAAATAAACACAATATACCTTCCTTGCTGCAAAGAAGTTACAACTTTTATGAAGTTTTATGAATTTTCTAAATATATTTTCATATGTAATTTAAAAGTCATAAAAGGTCATAAAATTGGGCCATTCTTTACCATATTATATCAAATAAACTTTTGGCACAGATACAAAAAGTTTATTCTAATGATAAAAAATGGTTCCATAATATCATTAACGAAATTTATATTTACGCATTGTTAAAGATAAAGTCGATCAAAACTATATAAAATCTTTTTAAATTTTCCTTGCAGTAAGACATTTTTTCTTTCAACACATTCACAAATCTTCAAATTGAAAGAATACAAATATCTTTAAGCACTTCCATTAATTCTTTTCTAGACGACAGTTAGCATTAAAAAGAAATATCTCCAATAAAATTCAATAAAATTTATGTTTATTAAAAATTTCTATGCAATTATCAAAATAAATTGAAGAGGCATAAGAGTTGAAGGTTCCCCAAATATACTCATAAATAATAAGAATACTTAGATTTAAACAAACCTTTCATTTCTTTATAACCATTTTCTTTCATGATTTTTAAAATATCTTCCCAAGCCTTGTTTTTAGCCTCAAAATTTCCATTATCTTTTTTGTGATACAAACAATGTTTACTTGAAACATTGTCTATTATCAACTGATCTCTATGAGTATCACTGACGAGTACACTCATATTTCACATGGACTAAAATTGTTTTAAAAAATCCAAAACTTTAAATGAACAAAAAAGAAAACAGTAATAGTGTAATACTAATAATAGTAACCGCTTAAATAACATGAAAGCACATCATATTCAAAAACAGATAACAGAACGCAACACAACGCAGCTTTACGTAAACAAGTGTGAAGTTGGTTTCTCCACTATGCTGTTCACTGCTACCAAATGCTAAAAATTATCGATATTTAATCGTTCATCATATGCAACAGGGCAAAAGAAATTCTTGATAGGTGGAACATTGAACAATATGACGGAAAACCCAACTTCAAACTTGTTTACATAAAGTTGCGTCGAACTGCGTTTTGTAAACTGTTTTCGAATGTGATATATTATTAATTTTTAGACTTACTGTCACTTTTATTACCTTTTATATAAATTACAATGGAGAAAATCGAAGAAACAGACTCGCAAGAATTAGACCGGAATTTAATCATTATTTCCTTACATACAAGATTACCCTTGTTTATATAATAAAAAAGATTTCAGTTATAAAAACAATGTTAAAAAAGAAAATATTTGGAAGGAAATAGTAAGATTATATTTGTTTGATTCACAAGAATACCTTGTAAAATCAACTTAATATTGTGGTCATGTATAAATTCTCTAAATTGAGTTTTTTTAATTATGGTATTTATAACCAAAAAAATTAATGAAATTGATATCAGTGGTTATTTTTATCTCTACACCTTTTAAATTACTTTGATATATCCCTAGCGGTTCTGCTGCAAAATCGCAATATACTAGTACCTGGGAATATTATTCATACCGTAAGTCCCTTGGGAAACATTGCAAGCATAATAAGTACTGTTTAATATTCGAAAGTTTTTTATACTCTACTTATTATTTAGAAATGTTAAAAAAAAATTTAATACGTTCTTTAATTTTAGGACAGATAGTAATTTCCAGTCTGCTTCAAATAATGCGATTGCCGATAAAAAAAAACAATTTCGTGAGGCTGGATGTTTTGAAGAGAATGAAGGTAAAATACTATGTTTTCATTAAACAACTAAAAAGAAACTAATTTTTTTAACATTTCACAGATGAAAATAATTCAAAAATAGAGGAGACAGGTTCTTCCAATTTAGAAAAACAATTATTCGAAGAAGATGGGGAAGATGAAAACGTTAGAAATTTAACTGCATGTGCTGCTAAAGTTGAAAATTTGATGCACACTGTAATCACCCAACAAAAACAAAATATAACAGGAGGTTACGAAAAGATTATAATTGAAGCCTTTGGTCATGTTCCATTTCCAAGGAGAAGAACAACATTCAATAAAATCATGAATATTTTAAAAGATTATGCCTAATTTTTCTTTATATTACAATTCATTATAATTACATTTCTTTATTATAAATATTATAAAAAAATTATTTCAATTTTTTTATATCGAAGAAAAGGTTTTCACCTCTTGAAAATATGTAGAATTACTTTGATTATGCTTGTAGTATATGTATAATATGACAAGTATATCTTAAGTGAAATATAATAAAACAAGTATCTTCCTATCCTTATTTATTACCCTTTTATAGATAACTATATTATATTCAAAAACATCAACACAACCAAAAAATAAATTATTTTATTGCAATTATTTAAATTGAAATATATCACCGTCCGACACGATTTTTCACACACGAAAAAATCAATGATTTTCAGAAACTAGGACCAAAAAAAAGATACCCGTGTCTGGCCGTTTTGCTAGATCAGGTCATTTTTTGCTTTTAGGGGTAAAAACAACCCTTAAATGAAAGGTGATAGGAAATCTTGTACAAAAAAATAATTTTTTATGAAACCTGGTATCTTGCAATTTTCCGGGTCGCTGATTACGAATCTGATGTCATATTTTCAAAATTCAAAATGGCGGATCCAATATGGCGGTCGAAATTTATAAAAATTCACCAATTCATTTGAAAGTTGTTACTTAGGGGTTTTTGGGGTCGCTGATTACGAATATGATGTCAGATTTTCAAAATTCAAAATGGCGGATTCAATATAGCGGTCGAAATTCGACGCTATATGTGAATTCGACGAACTTTTATCAATTTCAAACGCCATATTGAATCTGCAATTTTGAATTTTAAAAATTTGACTTCAGATTCGTACTCAGCAACCCCAAAAACCCATAGACACCAAGTTTTATAAAAAGTAATTAATTTTTTTTTAATTTCGACCGCCATATTGGATCTGCCATTTTGAATTATCAAAATCTGACATCATATTCGTTATCAGCTACCCCAAAAACCTTCAAGTAACAAGTTTCAAGTGAATTCGATGAACTTTTATAAATTTCGACCGCTATATTGAATCCGCCATTTTGAATTTTGAAAATCTGACATCATATTTGTAATCAGCGACCCCAAAAACCGCTAAGTAACAACTTTCAATGAATTGGTGAATTTTTATAAATTTTGACCGCCATATTGGATCCGCCATCTTGAATTTTGAAAATCTGACATCAGATTCGTAATCACCGACCCGGAAAACCGCGAGATACCAGGTTTCATAAAAAATTATTTTTTTGTACAAGATTTCCTATCACCTTTCATTTAAGGGTTGTTTTTACCCCTAAAAGCAAAAAATGACCTGATCTAGCAAAACGGCCAGACACGGGTATCTTTTTTTTGGTCCTAGTTTCTGAAAATCATTGATTTTTTCGTGTGTGAAAAAAAAAGTTGAATTTTGTCGGACGGTGATACATACATTATAATTATTTTATAAACATTTTTATTTTTACTGAACTGTTATTATATATTATAAAAACTTTGGTTTTATAATAAACATATTTTTATATTTATTTTTTGATTTTTTAAAATAATAATGTGCAATAGGGTCAGTTGGGGTAAATGGGGACAAGAGGTTTTGGAGCTTAATTTACAATTTTAAAATTAAGTTCAACGTCAATATTTTAACCTCAGATCACCTACAAGAGGTTTTGAGTATTTCCAAGCTTTTTCCTTGACAATTGGCAGCAAGATAAAAAGATTTATCGCTCAATGCATAAAAACTTGAAAATCAAAGACAAACTGTTTCAGTATTTTGTCGAGCATATCAAAGAAAACAGACTTAAAAATCATACCAAATTTTTTTCTTATTCCTTATGACTCCTATAACAGAAATTCACTTGAATTTTTATTTTTTGTCAATTTTGTTAATAATGACAAGCTGTCCCCATTTACCCTGAGTTTTCAAATTTTTGGGGTAAATGGGGACAGCTTGTCATTATTAACCAAATTAACAAAAATCAAAAATTCAAGTGAATTTCTGTTATGGGAGTCATAGGGAATAAGAAAAAAAATTTGGTATGATTTTTAAGTCTGTTTTTTTCAAATGCGAGACAAAATACTGAAATAAAAAAAAACAAGTTGTAAATTCAGATTCCTCTTTACGATCAGCAAAAAAATTTGCTTCCTCGTGGAGAAAGCAAAATTTTATTGCCAAAACGTGATTTTGATTTTTTAACTTTCATTAATTCTTTAAATTTACCTCAAATGTATACTATATATATATCAATCGATTCGTCTTGACGTAAGTAATACAATTATTTCAAATATAAACTTCAATTCAAAAAAACACACAATTTTATAGCCAAAATGTGATTTTTTGATTTTCTACCCAGTTAAAAGTAATGACGTCAAAATGACGTATTTTTTTACGTCGAAAACTACGTATTTTTTACGTCAGAAATGACGTAAAAAAGTAGTCAAAAAGACGTCTGAAAGGACGTCTGAAAAGACGTCTAAAATTGGGACATGAACAGACGTTATTTCAGACGTCGAATCAGACGTCAAAAATGACGTTCTATCAGACGTGATTTTCAAATGCTAGAAAACACTTTTAATTCATACTTCTGTTATATTAATATTAAAAATTTGTTAATACTTATCGCTATATAAATAAATGAAACGGTATTTATAGTTAATTGCTTTTATTTACATTTATAAAGGAGATTTATATAACGAAGTTTAACAATTTTTGGTCAATCTTTTTTAAATATTACAAGATGTATAAAATAGCTAGATTTTTAACTAAAACAAAAAATTACACACTTTATATAATTTACAGAAATATATATATATATTTATTTATTTATTCAAATAATCGTAATTATTGTGAAATAGATATTAATTGTTCTAAATAAATATCGAAATAAATAACTTTTGTTTTAAATACAGCAATTATTGTTTTAAAACCTATGTTTTTTTTCAATTAAAAATTAATTAGAGCAAATTAATACTTTTTTTATATTTATCGGCTAATCGATTATTTGAATCAAATAGTAAATTCAATCTATATATGTGTTTTTTGCAAATCAAGTTTATAAAATATGTAAGTAACAAAAATAAAATTGCTTACATATATATCTATAAGTTTTAAAATGTTTTGAAAAAAATTTTTTTTTTAAATTAATCTTTTTTACTTCTAATTTCATATAACTTCGATGAAACTGTTTTCCATATTCTCATTCGTTTGACTCTTGTTTTTACTGGGACTTTTTCGTCAATTAATTTTTTGCGAAGACAATCTATAAATGAGAAAAACTATTATTCACAATTGGGATATAAGGAAATGCATGTTTGTTTGAGAATATATTATTACCGGTTTCTAAAATGGAAATTATAAATCTATATTAAAATTTTTTTATTTTATTTCAAATAAAGTTGATATTGTCAGTAAAAAATTTTCATTAATTTTTTATAAACATAGATATAAATAATTTATTTGAAAATCATAATATATTTAAATTTTTAATAACAAGAAAAATTATCAAACATGAAATTTTTTATTTAAAACAATAGACGTGCTTTAAAAAATAAAAAACCTAGGAAACTGACTTTAAAAACAATTATTTTTTAAAAATATGTCATACAAAAGGTAATATTTTACCTTTTAATAACTGATACTTCTCAGGGGTCAACTGTTGTAGTTGAGAATCACGAGGTCGATTGCGATTTGCTTTTGACGGCTGCAAACATCTAGTTTTTAGGGTTTCTTTGTCCCATATCATTTCCATTACATCTCTTACGAATTTTGGAGGATCTTTATCAAGAGCTGTATACCAAATTGCACGATCGACATATACATTCAGTCCTAGGTGTACTTTCTATGTAAAATGTTAACAAGTAAAATCATAATCATCGTAAATTATAATTTAATTAATTAAAATTAAAACTTTAATAGTTTAAAAATATTTTTAAAGATTTATTTATTTATTTATTTAACAATTAACAATAAAGATTAATTTTTTTAAATCGCTCTTAGGAGTGATTTTATTTTCTCTTTCTCTTTGAAATTATTTTTTAAAAAAACTAAAAATTGAAATGTTGCTTTAAAGTGTCTGAGTTGAGAAATTTTTACTTAATGTAATATATGAATATCAATAATTTTAAAGAGGTCAACATACCTCATTTGTCTCATTGTCTGTATCTAACACGTTTCGGACATGTTGATTATAAGGCATAAGATTTAGAGGAATTTGTGCAGGCACGTTTAGGTCACGTTGAGTCAGACGATCAAGGGGTCTACTATTTTGGAGATGCGTATAATGATTTTGGGAGATATTACTCGAGTGATGAGTATCATATCTATCGTCAAAATCATTATTGTTACCTATATCTTGCAATACTCTTCTGTTTGGCGTAAATAAGTTTCGCCTAACATTTCGACTTGGCGTAGGTACATTTCCTGAACCTTAAAGATGTAATCAAAATTTTTATGCTAATATTGTTTTTTATATTTTAAATTAATAAAAAAGGGAATATAGATTAAAATATACATAAAAAATAATGTATATAGAATTAACATTTATTTTATATATCTTTTTATTTCAATTTTTTCCAAATTATTAATTATAATTTTATATGCTTATTTATATCTATAATTTAGATTTGAAAGATACAAAAATACTTTTGTAAATTGAATGAATAATATATTTATCGTTACCATCGCTAAAAGAACCCGTAAGCCGAATTGTATCCCCAGAATCGTGTTCACTGTCTGATGATGAATCAGAAATAATAATTCTCCGACGATTAAGTAAAATATTATGTCTATTTAGAATGTTTTCATTTTGAAGTTGCTTAGCTTCGGCAGAAGGCAAATTTTTTTTCTTTTGAGTTTTCTAGGTAACAAAGTAAAAGTTCTCGAATGATTAAAAATATTACTTATGCCATATTTCACATCACATTGCATTTCGCATTTTTAATTTACTAGTTTTATTTTGTAGGTTTGTCAAATTTTTGTGATGTGAATTTTTAAAATCTTTGTGTTGTAATTAATTAATTTTGTGTTGCAGTTCTTTTCTTTCCTTTATTGTCATATGTAATAAATAATTTTATTCTAGTTTGGAAGATACATAAAAGTAATGACAACTTCTTTCATTTATAACGATAACGTTTCGGCTCATAACCATCATCAGATCAGAATTTTTTTTTATTGTCAAGTAATTTATCTAATTTTACTCAGCTAATGATAATGGTGGTAAATTAAGCCATTAAAACGTAATAAAAAAAAATATTTGTATATTTCTATTAAAAAATTAAATATTTTATTCATAAATTTTGTTTCAATTTAAAAGTTAAAAATTTTTTTCTTTTGCTTTTCTATTATACTTAAGTGAATAGTCCTAATGATTAAAAAAAGGGAAAAAAATGAAATAACTCACGGTTATTTTTTTTCTGGAAGTTTTTTGTTGAACTTCACTCCCCGCTGAACTGAAACTCATGTTCCTTTTATTTGGAAATTTAATTCGAGAACACTTTTTTTGATCCTCTACATCCTGTTTGCTTGCTGAAATTATAATGAAATAATTGTTATTAAACATGTAATTTTTACATTGGTCGGGCTAATATTATTATAATGAAATGTTTGATTTAATATTGATTAATTCTTAAAATTGAACTTATTTTTATTAGTTAGTAACTGAAACGGCTGCCAATTTGAAATATTAAGTTTAAATTAAATTTTAATTTAAAAATTACATTTACAAGTGGTTCCTCATGAAGATGTTAATTATGTTAATCGACCTCTCTTTTAATATGTTTATAAAATATTTGAATATTTTACAAATTAATCAATAAATTAATACCAAAAAATATCGAAAGTCACGTTTTTCAAGATTTTTGTTTTATGAAAAAAATGTAGAAAAGAAAAGAAAAATATTTTATAAATATCTGATCACATACGAAACGTCAATTTTTAAAAATCTCATTTTTGGATTCTTAAGGTCCAAAAAACATAAAGAGAAATTAAAAAAGAGGAACTTTAAATATTTTTATATTACAAATTATGAGAAAGGAATAATAAATTTTTTAACTAATTTAATTAATGATAATATTAATATATAACTTATACTTACTTCCTAGAACGAGAATGTTAGCATTGTATAGAGAATCTTTGGATCCACCATTTCCTAACCACCAAACTTTCACTTTTCTTTGCTTGTCAAAATCCTTTCTACTTTTTGGAAAGAATTGTGGAATACTCGAAATGGAAACAGTTTTTTTCACTCCGTTTGTAAAGAGTACATATGCATAACGAATATTATTTCCATCAGACACTTCTGATTCAGACATTTTGTAATCGAAGATGTTATAACTCATACACAATCGGAAAGAATATATTCGTGAAACTTTTTGTCTGCCTGCCGATAACCTTCAATACACATGACTTAAACGTGCTTTTGTTTATGTCACCTGATCGCTGTCAGGGTTTTAACACAATGAACATAATCATTCTAAAAATTAATTATTATAAAGTTAGCTGATTAATTGTTGATTGGTATTTTAAAGCGATTAAATATTAAAATATAAGTATATATTTATACATTTCTTTATTTAGACATCAAATTCGCTTATATGTTCATACATAATAAATTTCTCCCGATATGATTGTGCCTTAACCTTAAAGTCGCTGTCTGTAAACACAAACGCGTGATGAACACATGGCATGACTCATGAGTCATTAGTACATACTTGTAGTAATCCATGGACGGTTGTAATCAAATTAGCTGATTAAAAATTCGTCATGTTTACGGTTTATATTATTAATTGAACCTGATCTTAGTGCTTCGGGAATCGTGAATATATCAAACAATATAATCTTCTCTTTGAGGTAAGTGCGCTTATATTATCAAACAATAAAACCAGAGAAAAGCAAAGCTAACTTTGCTCGAACACATTTATACAATCACAAAATTTTCCGTTATCACCATACATTTTTGAATTATTTTATACTACATACAAAACGATAAAAAATATTTTAAAGATTGTATTTTCTATGTAACTAAGCGTTTTGTAAATATTTTTTAGAAATTTTGTGAAACAAATTTTTTATATTTGAAATAAAAACTAAATTAATAATAATAATACTGGGTGTCTACTAAATTTACTTCAGTTTACAGGTTCTTTCACTTCGTGTGCAGTATATTTCTCGATTCAAAAACACCCAGTAAACTAATATTTCAAAATTTTTAAACAAATAGAATCTATTAAAAAATTAACAACTTTTATGCAGTTTCAATAAAAAATAAATAACACTCAATGAAAGTATTATTTTTTCTTCTCTATTATACATAAGTAAAACGTCCTAAAAATTAAAAACTTTGTGTTTTTTAGAAATTAAATAAAAAATTTATAGAAAAATCTTTAAAACTTTAATTGCTAACTAAATCTCGTTAAAAATTAAAAAAACCATTAAATTGTAGAAATTAAGTATTTTAAAAGTTTTAGCACAGATTTTTGTTCTTAATTATTTAACATTTTCAAATATTTATTCCAGGCTACAGACATTGCTGCTTAAAAATGAATGATTCGCTGCAAAAACCTTCAAGAACTTATAAAAGATATTTGCAGCGTGATTCTAATGAGCCAATTCCGTCAACAACATGGTACAGATTACGCAAAAAGAGAAAATTAAATGTAAATATAATTTGACTCACAAAATTTGAATCACAAAAATTGTATTTTGTACAAAACATAATTTTAATTTTTTCCAGATTTCATTAAATAGTACCATGGCCGGATGCAGTTATGAGAGTACGATTGACAATAAGCACGAGGAACACAATATACAAGAAAACAGAGATATCCCTGAAGGTGAAACTAATTTCGAAATTGACGAAGAACTGAACAGTTCTATAAATGAAGGGATTGATCATCATATAATTGACACGATTGAGGTAAAATAAATCATTTTTACAAAATTTGTGTTAAATTATCGAAACATAAAAATACATATCCTTTTAAGTAATCAATGTTATTTCTCATACAAAAAATATTTTTTACAATTAACAACAGTGCTGCAATGATTTAAATCAACTTGATTTAAATTATGATTTAAACCAGGTCATAAAAATCATGATTTTATTCAAATTACATATTTATATTAAAAATGTATTGCTCTTTGAATTGGAATTGATTAAAAATGACAAATTATTAGTTATTCATTTTTAAGACGATCAAATAGTTCACCTTTAATGAATTTTTATAAACCAATTTTTTTTATAATTTAAAATTTCCCAGTTTCCTTCCGAAAATTTTTTTGTTCCTATCGATCAAATTTTTATTAAAATATTTTGGAAATGTTAAAAAGACTATTTATTCTTTTTTTTTTAATTTTATATAAGATTTTAATAAGAACTTTACCGAGTTTTCAAAATAATCAAGTTTTTCAGGTCATTTAAAACAAATTTTTTTAAAAATATAAATAAAATCGAACAAATAATCGTAGCTAAGATTTTTAACTAATTCATATTTAGAGAATAAGAACTGAAAACTTTTCAGAGTTATATTTTTTGATTTAACCAATTAAAAGTATTTTACAATGTTTTTTAATCCATTATTTTTTCCACTTTTTATATAAAAATACAATTGTATGTGCTATAAAATTTACCTTTTACAGTGTTTATTAAATAACAGAATACTCTGAAATAATTATTTGAAAAATATTGATGTAAGTAAATGAAATAGTAAAATTTTGATTTAAATAAAAAAATTCGGATTTTTTAAATTTTTTTAAAAAATCATGATTTTTATCAGCCCTGATTAAAAATAAGTTTTTGTAAAGTCAATACTTTTTAAAAAAATACAATTGCTATTAAATTTTGCAATGGCACACAATAAATTGTAAGTTTATTGTAAGTTGTATGATCTAGATTTTTTTTTAATTTTCACACTTTTTCCATAAATCTTAAGAGTTTGTAAAGTTAAAATATATTTCAATTATTTAACTTAAGACTCTTTCGCATAAATTGCACTCTAATTAGTTTTACAAAAATAACCTAAAAATTTTTAGACAAACTAAAAATTTTATGGAAAAAGAAAGACTGAAACAGTTAAAATATTTTTTCAGGAAATTGACATCGATACTGATGGCAATTTGCCTCAGATACTTTATGATGCTGTTGACAATTTAATGGAAGACATTGAAACAAGTGAAATGGCTGGAACTCAACATGAAGAGGTAAAATATTATAATATTATAAAGTAACATGTGGCACCATGTGAAAAAACGGTGTTGATCCCAAAAAAATCGAATTTAACTTTATGACTGTCTATAGTCCATTTCTTATATTCTAGGACCATAAAAAATCAATGCGACCATTTTAAAGTGTAGAAAAAAATTTTGTGAAATTATAAATATTCAAATAAAATAAAATAAAATGCAACAAACATCGAATGAAAGTAAAATATTTTATTGGAAAAATATTGTGACTCTATTCAACAAAAAAAATGAAATTTTTTCCAAAGAAATATTTCAGTTTCATTCAATCTTTGTAGCTTTTAGAATAGTTTAAAATATAGTATCCTAAATATACTAAATTCGTGTTGCATCAAAATACAGGTTTTTGCGTTTTTCTAAAAAATGATACGAGATATCGATTTTATTATCTAAGAAAAAATATGGGGAATCAAATTCCCGAATAAGATTATGATCGTTAAATTTTTTATAGCATCGATTTTCAAACAAAAAATGTTGGAAGAATTTGATGCGTGATTTTACTTTTCGTCAGGTCACATAGACCTCGACTACTTTTAAAAAATTAGAAAATGTCGTAAAAGATGGCGTAAATTCTTTAGATAATGTGTAACAAGTTATAGAATGGCGCATCTTTAATGTTTTAAAAATTAAATAAATTTCAAACCATTAAAAATGCCATTCTATCATTTTTTATACATTATCTAAAGAATTTACGCCATCTTTTAATTTTTAAAAAAGTAGGCAAGTTTTATGAATCATAGACTTTGAACATTGATACATTGATTTCAATTTTTATTTTAAATTAATATTTAATATTAAAAATTATAATCACAGCCAAAAACATAATTAATTTTACCAAAAAATCGTTCGACAGTTTCAGGCGTTTAATAAGTTTTACATAAAATATTAAAAATTGAAAATAATAGTGAAAAACAATTAAAAATTGGAGTTGTACGCTTAATTAGAATGTGTCATATTATAACGTTCATCAAACTGATTCATAAAATTCGCATTTCTAATAGAATGAAAATGAAGAGGATGATTTCTTTTTTGACGCGATCGGAGACACAAATGACTGTAACGAAAGTGATGCAGCAGAAGAAGAAGAAGAAGAGATATTAGGAAAAAAATCATTTGCTTCATTAACAGATTTAATGGGAAATAAAATTTTTGATAGACCTATTCAAACCGTAGTGAACAAAAGTGTGGCAGAAGTAATAATAATGATTGTAAAATATTGCTTGATATATTCACTTTCACTGTCAGGAATGACAGATTTATTCAAACTAATTAATTGTATTTTTGCTGAACCGATTCTACCTAATACAAGGTATTACATTGATAAACTTTTTTATCCAAAAGATCGTGTAACTTTGCATGCAACTTGTAACGAATGCGGTGCATATATAGGAAAATTTAAAAAGCATTATCGTACTCTGAAATGCAAAGTATGCAAATTGAAAATAAATGTAAAAAGTTATGTTTACAAAGATTTTTTTGTAACAATGGATGTCTCGATGCCTATTGCGAAATTAATTGAAACAAACTATGAATATTACAAGTATGTTATTAATGAACGAAATAACGAAAAGGATGTTGTAAAGGACATTTATGATGGAAAAGAATACCGAAATTTTGTAAACAGTTTAAGTGAAACGGATAAACGCGGTTACGCCACAGTGACTTTTAATACTGATGGCGCTCCACTTTTTAAAAGTTCAACGTATTCCATTTGGCCCGTTTATTTAATGGTGAAAGAACTACCCTTTAGTGTCAGAAGTAAAGAGTTAATATTGGCAGCTCTTTGGTTTGGGAAAGACAAGCCTAATATGAATGTCTTTCTTGACCCATTTGTTAATTCTATGAACAAACTTTCAGTTTTAGGAGTTCCATGCAACTTAAATAATTCAATATCTAGAATTAAAATTTTTCCCCTTGTATGCAGTGTAGATTGTGTAGCCAGGGCACCTGTTCAGGGATTCAACCAATTTAATGGGAAGTACGGATGCGGACTTTGTCTTCATCCAGGTGTTTGGGTGAAAAATAAAAAAAATTCACGATATGGGAATATAAAATATGCATTGATGGATAATGTACCTGAACCAAGGAATGCTAAAAGTACTTTAAGCCATATGAAAGAAGCAGTTGAAAAAGGAAAGCCTAAGTTTGGTGTAAAAAACTCTTCTAGTTTAATAAATTTATTGAAATTCGATATTATTAAAGGTTGCGTTCCTGAACCCATGCACTGTATTTCTGGAGTAGCAAAGCAATTTGCTACTCTCTGGTTTGGTACTAAACAAAAAGCTGGATTATTTAAAAAGTGCATCATTAACGATATTGATACGTTCATGCGCAATATAAAAGTAACAAATCAGATTTGTAGATTAACTAGATTGCTTTCTGAAAAAGAATTTTGGAAAGCAAAAGAGTGGGAGAATTGGGTGCTTTATTTCAGCTTGCCAATATTAACTACAGTTCTACCTTCTGAAAATAAAAAATATGCTGAACATTGGTCCCTTTTTGTAGAAGCTTTGCATTTATTATTAAAAGATGATATTAAGATATGGGAAATTGATTTAGCTGATAAATTACTTCATGAATTTGTTGCTGGCATAGAAAAGATATATTCAGCAGCAAGTATGACTTTTAACGTCCATTTACTTTTACACTTAGCAAAAACAGTTTATTATTGGGGACCTTTATGGGCCTTCAGTGCTTTTGCCTTTGAATCTGGAAATGGCAAACTATTAAAAGTTATACATGCTTCTAAGGGTGTTCATCATCAAATATGCAGGAGGATAAGCTTGCAATATTGTCATTTATCACTGAAGGATCGCATTTATCCAATCGCATCTCAAAGGATAATAACTTATTGTACCTCCTACCTTGTTCAAAAATCACTTAAACTGTTTGAAGTAAGATATTTTGGTCCTTCTTCAACGGTCGACGATAATTGGATCAACCTTTTACAATTAATTTCGCAAAAGGCATCATCGTACAAAAAAATTATAAAAAATGGTTGTTTATACCAATCTTCTTTAAAAAACAACCATCGTTCAAACAACAGTTTTGCACAGCTTCTCAATGGGCAATATTTCAAAATAAATAAATTTATCATTGACACAGGTTCAAAAAAAGAGTACACAATTGGACAAAAAATTATAGTAGAAGATGCTTTTATTGAAACGTGTAAAGTAATAAAAAAAATTACTAAAATTGAGACTTGGGAGACAGCGATTTTAACGAAAAATATTAATAAAGTTTGCGTACAGATTAAATTGAATGACAATGAATACCTTTGTGTGGTTCCAAATTTGCATTTTTATTAATTTGGACTTAAATTAAAAAAAAAGGGAAATAAATTAATGTTTTAAATAATTAAATAATACTGACCAAACAAAATATTATTTTTTGTAAAAATTATGCCACACATAATTAGGTTGACATCTTTTAATTAATAACAAACGATAATGTAATCTATTTTACTTAATTGTACGTAATTTGGAATGTCTTCGAAAATAGTTAAATGACGAAAAAAAAATAATAATAAAAATGTATATATTTCTGTAAATTATAAAGACTGTGTAATTTTTTGTTTTAGTTAAAAGTCTAGCTAATTTATATATCTTGTAATATTTAAAAAAAATTGACCGAAAATTGTTAAAATTCATTATATAAATCTCCTTTATAAATGTATAAATAAAAGCAATTAACTATAAATACCGTTTCATTTATTTATATGTATAGCGATAAGTATTAACAAATTTTTAATATTAATATAACAGAAGTATGAATTACAAGTGTTTTCTAGCATTTGAAAATCACGTCTGATAGAACGTCATTTTTGACGTATGATTCGACGTCTGAAATAACGTCTGTTCATGTCCCAATTTTAGACGTATTTTCAGATGTCCTTTCAGACGTCTTTTTGACTACTTTTTTACGTCATTTCTGACGTAAAAAATACGTATTTTTCGACGTAAAAAAATACGTCATTTTGACGTCATTACTTTTAACTGGGTAACTTTCATTAATTCTTTAAATTTACCTCAAATGTATACTTTATATATATCAATCGATTTGTCTTGACGTAAGGAATACGATTTTATTATATATAACCTTAAATTTTTCTATTTAAAAATTTTTTCGATTAAAAACAATTTTTGGAAAAAAGACGATAAAATTTTTTTTTTGGGTATTTTTCAAAATCCTTTGGTCAGATTTGAGATATTAATATGATAAATGAGCCTACTAAATTTTATCTAAATCCATTAAAACCTGTTAAAGTTATCTTCTAAACAAAAAAAGGATCCACACACACACATACATACATCCGGACAATTGATCAGGATCTCATATAACATGTTTCTATAAAGAAAAAAATTTGTTTCCGCCACTTTTAAAAGTTTTATAAACGAAAGGACTACAAAGCTTCCTCTACGAGGAAGCAATAAAAAAAATTAATAAATTTCAATTGGTTCAATATACATGGTTGCCACAAAATCTAAATTTTGAAATTCCAGGCTTTTTCCAGGTTTTCCAGGTCATATTTATCTAAAATTCCAGTCGAAAACGGAAATTTTTTAAGCATGTTTATGGGTAATTTGTAATAATTAATCTATTTTGATAAGGTAATTCTCTAATAATAAATAAATATATAATGAATAATATATATACTTTATTGAAATTTCCTTATTCAAAATAATTAATACAAGTCTTTTACAAAAAAATTGTTAATACATTTTTTATAGTGTTACTATAAATAAATATTTAAAAAAAAATTAAAATCACAAATTTTCTTATGTCGTACAAGGGACAATAATACAGTTTTACTAGAACATAAAAGTAATGTTAACAGTCTTAATCACATTTTTACAGTGTAATTATAATCACAAACTTTGTTAAACTTTTAAAATCACATTTTAAATCACTTTTAAAGAGTGTTGTAAAATTATTTTATAAATAATATAGCGATTAAAAAGTTTTAAATACTGTGAATCAACTATTTGACTTATCTTTAATAGTTAAATAATATAAATCTTTTAACATTAAAATAAACTTTTGTTAAAAATCTGGAACAAAAGTATTTAGAACATGTAAATAAAAACAAGTAACACAAAATAACTTTGACTTCTGGAAATTTAATTTTTCCGATTTTTAACGAGTATTTGAATCTCATTATCAATATCATCTAGTTCTCTTTGATTTTCGAGTTGAATTTTCCTTTTTTTTTCTTTTAACTCTTGAATCTCTTCGCCAATTCTTTTCTTCTGTAAATACTGTTCTGCTTCAGTCTTATTCTCTGCTTTCTTATCATTCACTGCTAATTCATATTGCATCCTTGCATTCCGGAACTGCGATATCATTCTATGATTTATTTCGACATTATTGACTCCTCCAGCAAATTGAATGCCGTCGTACATTCTTCTTTGAGCTACAAGGGATTTTGGCAACTGATTTTCTATGACAAGCTCTTTATTTATAGAAAACCCCCTCTCTACAAAAGCGTTTCCATGACTTATCAATAACACTTTTTTCATAAAATTTTTTAATATGTTTGAGACATCATTTGATGACCAAATACTTTTCCAAAAGTGATCAAGTCTTTCCGCTTTTCTATTGTAACTTTTAAACGCATCAAGTACGGCTGAGTTTTTTATCAACAATTTAAATTCGCTATCAATAATGTCACAGTCTTTTGCAGACAACCTTTTTTTTCTAAAAATATTTCCAAATATTGATGCTATATTATCAAAATACGTTTTGTATAATAAAAGTGCAATATTTATTTATTATATCAATTGTTCAGTATTCCTTGATATATTCTTTAAATAATAAATTCAATTTCGATTAATAGTATTCGATTTATAGGTTATTTGCAGACCACGTGGAGATCAAAGAGACCAAGATAGAAACAAAGTTAAAGTAAATCCGAAATCAGAATGGCAATATTGATAATATAAATGCCTGTGTACGCGTTAGCTATCTGGTCAATTAGTCATACTCACTTAAACGTACACCTAATGAGAGTGAGGAGCACAGACGTATATCTCTGCACTCTTCACTCTCATTAGGGGCACGTTCACGAAATTTCAGGCTAATGGAATCACCTTCACATGTTCATTCTAAACAGACCTTTGTATCAGTTAAAGGTAGTACGTCGCTTACGCCCTAAAGACGGGTCTATATGAATTTACACCATTTTATACCTTTTTTTCTGAAAATTTGAAAATGGAAAAAAAATTCCAGAAATTTTTTCAAATTCCATGCTATTTCAAGGATTTCCATACCTCCATTCAATTTCCATACCAATTCCAGGTTTTACAGGTTTTCCAGGCTCTGTGGCAACCATGATATATCTACTACAAATTAATCCTGGGAACGTAAATAACAACTTAAAAAAATAAACTCGCAAATATTACCTTTTAAAGGAAGAAACTTACGTAATTTGTGAAAAATAGCGATTTTGTCCCCATTTACCCCAACTGACCCTTTATATTATACTTAATAAAAAATAAAAACTCTTGGTGTTTTCGATTTTATATATAATAAAATATTAATTAGTTAGTTGACTAATTTAATTAATATTTAATTTGTGTTGGGTTACTAAAAATTTAACACACTTTTTCCTAAAAAAAAGTATATTGCCTGGAGCAGAGATTTCACTATTGCAGTGAAACTTATCTCTGTTACAGTTAAAGCTTTCTTTTCGTATACAATAAATTACAAAACTACCAGTATTCAGCCAGTACTGAACCAGTAGTGGTTAGCAGTACTGGTGCCAACTCTGGCGCCAATACTGGGTGCCAGTACACGGAAAGAAAGTTTGTAGCAATATTTGATATTATGGTGTTACTTTTTAGTATATTTGGTTACAATTGCGGAACATTTTGGCATGATAACGATTTTCGATACTATTTTTAAGAATGATTGAGATTAAAATAAGAATATTTAATATAGTTGGAAAGAAAATTTGATATAATATTTACGAAATCTGAAATCTTTTTATTGAAACACAAAAATGTCAAATTTTAATAAGCTCTTTATCAATTTTTCTAACCAAATATTTCAAATTTCGTAATTAGAATTGTATAAAATGATATAATTATTTCAGATTTTGATATATTTGATATGAAAATTGAAAAAGAAATATCAAAGTTAACGAGATTCGACGAAATTTGCCGAAGTTGAACGTTCGGAATTGCCCGATCCTCACCGAGTGGTAACGAAGACCGACGAAGCTCTTTAGACAAGCCCCTTTTTACCATTATCTTGATACAGACCTGAATTTCTTTTATATAATTAATTTCGAAGATTTTACAACAAATCAGTAAAAAAATTGTTCTTCAAAAAATAATAAAATATTTAATTATTTCCCAATAAATAATGATTTTTATTTATATTTTTAAACATGTTTTGATATAATTTCACCTTTCTCATAAGCGGTGAAAAATATGTCTGGTTAGTATATATAAGAATGGTCACATCAGTTTTTCACATGAGCGTAAATTTGTATATGAAGCGTTATTCTGCGAATGTTATACGTATTATCGTTAGTATAGGTTAGGAATAAAAATAAGCCAATCGATGTAAAACAATGCGGTGTATGTGTGTGTGTGTGTGTGCATTTAAAAGTTCATATCCTCGTCTATCCTCGAGATGAGAAAGAGATAAAACTTTAGCGTAGAACCTATTGGTGTTTCTGTCGTCATCTGTCACGACTGAACCACTTCGAATTTTTAGTATAGTTTTAACAAATTTCGAAATAATCTTTCCAAATTTTCATATAAATTTAGTAAATAACGAAGTGCGCGTCGATTTAACTTACTTCTGGTTTTTCGTATAAATTTATCAATTTACGAAATAATAATTTCAATTTCTGGAATATATTTACTAAAAAGACTATTGGTAAAAATATACCGATTTTCGTTATCAAACCCAAATGTTCCGCGTTTGAAAAAGAAAATACTAAAATTTCCTATCAGATTTATCAAATATTGCTACTAAATTTCTTTCCGTGTACTGCGCTATTAGTAAATTTTTGATTGGGATCATTAAAAAATAAATCATAAGAAAAATAAGTGTATTTATTTGTTAATTATTTTCAAATAGATCATTTACTTAAAATTATTAGAAGAAAGCAAACAACAAACGAACACTATTTCGCGTCTGATAATGTTATTTTATGTTCACTGTAAACCACATGAAAAATACTCACATTCAAGAAATTTTAATAATCACTGATTGCTTTCTAGCTTATAAAACAGTTTTTCTAAAATATCAAATTGATACAAAAAACATCAAAATTGTTGCGATGCAACGTTTTCATATGTTTTTTGTCTGAATTTGATGTGCTTATAACAATTGTGAAATTGTATAAAGAAACACAAAATAGCATTTTTTGCATTAAAAAAACTTACATTAAAAGAAAATTAGTGACTTGGTATCTAAGACGTTAACTCTGTAGGCGTCGATGAGACATTCCAAATCTTAAACAATCGTATGTTCTTTTGATACCTCAAGAACATCTCAGGAATGTCCTAATTTTCGTTTCTCGTAATATCCACGTAATATAGTAGTCTAAATCAAAGTCAATGTTAAAGTCAATATCAAATTGAAAGCCAAAGTGAAATTACAAAATCGCACCCCAGATTTAAGCTAGATAAAAAAAGCATTTGTTTCTGCAGCTCAAA